ACTGGAATAGCGAAGAAGGTGAGAGGGTGGCCAGGATAAGCTCTCCCCAAAGAGATTCTGAGACCTAAAGGATGAAAACTAAGTTAAGTGGTAAGTGGAAGAAAAGAACTTCTCAAGCAGAAAACTTGATGTTTTCAAAAAAACGGAAAGGAAAGCAGTAAAGCTTTGAGGTAGTGTACAAAGGGAGGAGGCGTCATGAGGGCAGGCAAGTATACAGGGCCAGACTCAGTAGTCTCATCTACTAGAGCCAGCAGGGAAGGCTTCAGGAGCAAGCAGAAGCCACGACAGAGTTGTAAATTGGGGAGTGACTTGATGCCATCTAGGTTTTAAATCACTGTAGCATAGTGATGTGGTTGGAAAGAGGCAAAAAGTGCAGACACCTAAGTTAGAGTTACTATTTTTGGCTACACTTTGTTTTTTCTTTTTCAAATTATTTGCTCAACATTTAAGGACAGATTATTTACATTTACTTCTAGTCTTTCCCGCTTTGTCCCCCTGAGCAAACTCCAGCGTTAGCTTATTTATCCTGCTGATTCGGTATCTAGTAAACCTGCCTGGGTGTAGGTGAGAGCACATGAACCATCTCTTTCTGACTAACCTGACAGGAATCTAGGCCAGTGATTTTGGTGAAGCCACAAATAGGCTTATCTAGGAGTGGAGTTTTTTGGAACTTGTCTGAAAATATGTTTTAAAATGTCTCCACAAGACCTAAGCGTGTAGGAGAAAATTGGATTTGGAAAACTACCAACCGGCTCATCTTTGCATGTACTCATAACAACTCTTTCCCTCCAGAGGTTATCTCTGTAAAGCTTACCACATTCCTTTCAGACAGGACCTGGCCTGTTCCTTGGTGAATCAGCAAAACTGAACAAAATGGAGTTTTAAAGAGAAACTAACATGGGGGAGGAGTAGGTGCCGCAAAAGGGGATAGTAACTATATCTACGATTTGTTTTTCAAGTGAAGTCTTGAAGTAAATGTGACAAATATTAATTGTTAATTTTGGGTAGTGGTACATGGTATGGGAATAAATTATTCTTTGTATTTTTATGTATTTTCTAATGTCTCAAAATAAAAATAAGTAAATCGTGGCCAGGCGCAGTGGCTCATGCCTTTAATCCTAGCACTTTGGGAGGCCGAAGCCAGCAGATCACCTGAGGAGGCCAGGAGTTCAAGACCAGCCTGGCCAACATGGTGAAACCTTGTCTCTACTAAAAATACAAAAATTAGCCGGGCATGATGGCACGTGCCTGTAGTCCCAGCTACTCGGGAGGCTGACGCAGGAGAATTGCTTGAACCCGGGAGGCAGAGGTTGCAGTAAGCCAAGATCACGCCACTGCACTTCAGCCTGGTGACACAGCGAGACTCTCCATCTCAAAAAAAAAAAAAAAAAAAAAAGAAGAAGAAGATTCATAAAGGTTATCACACTGTTTTCCAAAAAACAAAAGCACAGTTGATCTAGACAGTGCTACATCCATTCAGGACATTAATTTCAGAAACAATTTGACATGTGGCATTAGACTGCTGCTTCTACTCTCCAAATCCTGTCATTTGCAGAACACTATAAAAATAGAGGAGGAATTGTAATCAAAATGTGTTAATTCCATCTCAGCCTGACCTAGGGATGCTAGAGGGCGGCATACTCCTGAAATCTGTTTTTTAGGATGATAAAGAATGAAGCTATTAATGTAAAAGGTGAACAAAATTAGACAATCCAATCTAGTTTAGCTTAAAAGTGATCAAGTTAAGGTCAATTGCATCAGTTTCTCTTGCCCTGTTTTATTGTTCTGTGGCTAAATCCTTCCTTTATCCAGCATTATCAGTGCTTTCAAATATGTATACCAATATGTACACCAATATGTCATACACTACAAGGAACACTGTGCACTAGTACAAATGGAAAAAATGGCAACATGTATTAATAAATATATTAATGGCAGCATTTATTGTTCTGTGGGTAAATCTTTCCTTTATCCTGCATTATCAGTATTCTGAAATAGATATATCAAATATGTATACCAATCTGTCATACACTACAAGGAACATTGTACACTATGGGGAAAAAAATGGCAGCATGTATTAACAGCCTTAAAAATATGTGTACCAGCTGGGCGCTGTAGCTCACGCCTGTAATCCCAACACTTTGGGAGGCCAAGGCGGACAGATCACAAGGTCAGGAGTTTGAGACTAGCCTGGCCAATACAGTGAAACCCAGTCTCTACCAAAAATACAAAAATTAGCTGAGCGTGGTGGTGCGCACCTGTAGTCCCAGCTACTCAGGAGGCTGAGGCAGAAGAATCACTTGAACCTGGGAGGTGGAGGTTGCAGTGAGCTGAGACCGTGCCACTGCACTCCAGCCTGGGCAACAATAGCGAAACTGATCTCAAAAAAAAAAAAAAAACACATACATATCTATACATATAGATAGAGATATATGTACCATTCCCACTAAAAGGACAAAGAGCTGAGGTGGGAGGATCCCCTGAGCCCAGGAGTTCAAGACCAGCCTGGCAAACACTGCAGGACTCTGTCTCAATTTTAAAAATAAAATTAAAAAGGGGCAAACGGACATCATGTACTTGCTGATGTGTTGCAAAGAGGACATCAAAGAGTATCACACATGTAGTACTCCTGCTATAATGCGTAACCTGAATCTAATCATGAGGTAACTGTCAAAACCCAATTGAGGCCGGGCACAGTGGCTCACACCTGTAATCCCAGCACTTTGGGATGCCAAGGCAGGCAGATCATCTGAGGTCAGGAGTTCCAAGAACAGCCTGGCCAACATGGCAAAACCCTACTTCTACTAAGATACAAAAATCAGCAGGGTGCGGTGGTGGGCGCCTGGAATCCCAGCTGCTGGAGAGGCTGAGGCAGGACAATCTCTTGAACCTGGGAGGCAGAGGTTGCAGCGAGCCACGTTGACACCACTGCACTCCAGCCTGAGCGACAGAGTCTTCTGTCTCAAAAAAACAAAACAAAACAAAAAATTGGTTTTCTACAACTGGCCTATATTCTTCGAAATGTCACTATCAAGAAAGGTAAGTCTGAGGAAACTCTTCCATATTAAAGGAGACTAAAAAGACATGATCACTAATACAGTAAGTGATCCTGGATCCAATCCAGGTTATAAAGGGTATAAAGTAAGCTTATAAGAAGGTTATAAAAGGTTAAAAAGTACGGTTATAAAAAAAGGTTATGGCCGGCCACGGTGGCTCACCCCTGTAATCCCAGCACTTTGGGAGGCCAAGGCGGGCGGATCACCAGAGGTCGGGAGTTCAAGACCACCCTGGCCAACATGCTGAAACCCCATCTCTACGAAAAATGCAAAAATTAGCTGGGTGTGGTGGCAGGTGCCGGTAATCCCAGCTACTGGGGAGGCTGAGGCAGGAGAATCAATTGAACCCAGGAGGTTCAATTGTGGTGGTGGTTGTGGTGAGCCGAGATGGTGCCACTGCACTCTAGTCTGGACAATAGAGCGAGACTCTGTCTCAAAAAAAAAAAAAAAAAAGTTATAAAGTACATTGATGGATTGATGGGACAAAGAAATTTTTATTTTTATTTTTATTTTTTTTTTTGAGATGGAGTCTCACTCTCATTGCCCAGGCTAGAGTGCAGTGGCACCATCTGTGCTCACCGCAACCTCCATGTCCTGGGTTGAAGCACTTCTCCTGCCTCAGCCTCCCGAGTGGCTGGGATAACAGGCATGCACCACCACGCCCTGCTAATTTTGTATTTTTAGTAGAGATGGGGTTTCTCCATGTCGGTCAGGCTAGCCTCGAACCCCCGACCTCAGGTGATCCACCTGCCTTAGCCTCCAAAAATGCGGGGATTACAGGCGTGAGCCACCGCGCCTGGCCTGGGGCAAAGCAAATTAATGTTCAGCCTAGTAAACTAAATTTCCTGAATTTGCTACATCCTTGTTCTTATGACACACTAAAACAGGAAGTGTGTGTGTATATGAAAATAAAGTGTTAACGTACATGTAGCAAAATGTTAACAACTTGAATCTAGGTGAAGGGAGGTCAATGCAGTATTCTTACAAGTTACTATATCTCAAATTTCTTCAAGATAAAAAGCTAATAAAAATGGTGGGTAAGCATAGCACAGTAAAAAGAAAACAGTGGGTGTATCATTTGACCCCTTATTCTACTATTAGAAGTCAGTCTTTCCTAAAGATAAAGGAATTTTCAAACGTTTTTGCCTTTGGGATTTTGGGGGAAAAAACTGGGGCTTGAGGTAAATCCAAACACAAATGAGCCTGGGGGGATTTCTGTCCTAATATTCCTCTAAATGCGACCTGGGAAGGCTTTTGAAAAATATACAGGCTATCTCAGAAAAGTTCCAAATAAATTATGTAGCTGCTCCACCCTAACAAGGAAGTTGAGCATAGCTCCCCACTCCCTAGGTGTGGGCTTTGCACAGTGGCTTCCTTCCTAAGACTACAGTATGGAAAGGGGGTTAAAAAAAGAAACTTTAGAGTGGAGAAACCTACAAACCCTACTTTATCCAGGTAATCAAGGTTGACATGAATAGTCAGAAATCACGTTTCTTTTTTTTTTTTTTTTTCCTTTTGGTAGAGACGGGGTTTCTCTATGTTGCCCAGGCTGGTCTCGAACTCGAGGTCAAGCGATACACCCGCCTCAGTCTCCCAAAGTGTCAGAACTGCAGGCGTGAGCCACCACGCCCGGCCAAAAATCATGTACCCTTGACTGGCATTAATAAAATGACATTGGACCTCTGTGATCTTCCTCCCCTAAACCCATAACCCTGTGTAATTACGAGAAAAATTGCAATAAAAGCGCACTCTCCAATGTACCTAACCAGTACTCCTCAAAACAGCCCGATTAATTTCAGATAGAGAAACTCCTTATGTTTTCTTCCGCCTACCCGGGACCCCAGTTTAGGTAAAAAACACAGGTCAGGTCACGAGCCAGCGACGTAAAAGCACCCGAGCACGCGCCCACAAGCCGGGACAGGGCGGGACTTCCTGGGCGTCGCTCTCTTCCTATTGGCTGAGAAGGGTCATGCGGATGAACTGTGCAGTCACCTGGCAGGAACCGGAACCCGCGTTTATAAAGTAAAGGAAACCGAGATCTGCGCAGGGCTACCCTTTGCCCATTCGTCTCCCCTCACCCTTTAAACCTAAACTCGGTCCTGCTGCTCACCGACCTAGCATTACTCTCGCCATGGCTCTCAGCGATGCTGACGTGCAGAAGCAGGTGAGGGGCTTGGTTGGGTGGGTCTCGCGAAGCCGCGGCGCCAGTCCCGGGGGATGGGCTGGAGCCCGGCTCGTGGAGGCCGCGGGCCTTGAGTCGCCCAACTGCCGCAGGAAGGCCCCTTGCTCCAAGTCACCAGACCCTAGAGGTCGGCCTGAGGAAGGAGATTTGCCCCGCAGCTCGTGTGACTTTTGCTCGGGTCTTGCGCACTGCCCGCTTGCCTGCGCTCCGCCTTCTTGAACGCCCTGGCTCTTTGCCCCCCACCTCAGCATTCCCTGTTTTCCAAGGATATTCACTGTGCCTAGTCGGACAGAGATCTGTACAAGGAGTGAAAACAGCCTTGTGGCCGGAGACAGTGGCTCACGCCTGTAATCCCAGCACTTTGGGAGGCCGAGGCGGCCGGATCACCTGAGGTCAGCAGTCCGAGTCTAGCCTGACCAAAATGGTGAAACCCCGGTCTCTACTAAAAATACAAAATTAGCCGGGCGTGGTGGCGCGCCTGTAATCCCAGCTACTCGGGAGGCTGACGAAGTAGAATCGCTTGAACCCGTTGAACCCAGGAGGCGGAGGTTGCAGTGAGCCGAGGTCGCGCCATTGCACTCCAGCAGGGGCTACAGGGCGAGACTTCCTCTGAAGAAAAAAAAAGAAAAAAGAAAACAGCCTTGTCCCATTTTTTGTTTGTTTGTTTTAAACCCTGCGGGAAGTGCTTAAGGCATATGATAGGAAAGAAACAGTGCGGAGGGAAGAGACCTGTTTCCAACCAGTATTGTTTTGACAAGGTCGTTTACTTTATGAACTGTTTTTTTCTTTCTCTCTTTTTTTTTTTTTTTTTTTTTTTTGAGACGGAGTCTCGCACTGTTGCGCAGGCTGGAGTGCAAGGGCGCGATCTCGGCTCACTGCAACCTCCGCTTTCCGGGTTCAAGCGATTCTCCTGCCTCAGCCTCCCTATGAAGCTGGGATTACAGGCTCGCGCCCCACGCCCGGCTAATTTTTGTGGTTTTTTTTGTTTGTTTGTTTTGTTTTTTTAGTAGAGGCGGGGTTTCACCATGTTGGCCTGGCTGATCTCGAACTCCTGACCTCAGGTGATCCTCCCACCTGGGCCTCCCCAAGTGCTGGGATTACGGGCATGAGCCACCGCGCCAGACCTGTATGTACTGTTAATCTTCATTTTGGGGAAGCCCCCTCTATCGTAATGGATTATAATGATTGCCTTCCCACTAATGTGTGTGTTAACATTTGTGTGTTAACATTTGTGTGTTAACAAATGTGTGTTAACATTTGTGAAATACGGGCTGGGGCCGGCCGCGGTGGCTCACGTCTGTAATCCCAGCACTTTGCGAGGCTAAGGAGGGCGGATCACCTGAGGTCAGGAGTTCGAGACGAACCTGGACAGCATGGTGAAACCCTGGCTCTATTAAAAATACAAACAATTAGCCGGGCATTGTGGTAGGCGCCTGTAGTCCCAGCTACCTGGGAGGCTGAAGCAGGAGAATGGCGTGAACCTGGGAGGCGGAGCTTGCAGCCAGGGGAGATCCCGCCACTGCACTCCAGCCTGGGCAACAGAGCCAGACGCCGTCTCAAAAAAAAAAAAAAAAAAAAATTGGTCGGGCTCCGTGGCTCACGCCTGTAATCCCAGCAGTTTGGGAGGCCGATGCAGTTGGATCACGAGGTCAGGAGATCGAGACCATCCTGGCTAACACGGTGAAACCCGTCTCTACTACAAATACGAAAAGTTAGCCCTGCGTGGTGGGGCGCCTGTAGTGCCAGCTAGTTGGGAGGCTGAGGCAGGAGAATGGCGTGAACCCGGGAGGCCGAGTGAGCCTAGGCGACAGAGCGAGCCTCCATCTCAAAAAAAATTATCTGGGCCTAGTGGGGTGCACCTGTAGTCCCCGCTACTCAGGAGGCAGAGGCAGGAGAATCGCTTGAACCCAACAGGCAGAGGTTGCAGTGAGCCAAGATCATGCCACAGCACTCCTGCCTGGGCAACAGAGTGAGACTCCAGCTCAAAAAATTGTAATATTAATAAACACAAATACAAGCCAGATGCAGTGGCTCACACCTGCTACCTCCAGCACTTTGGGAGACTGAGGTGGGAGGATCGCTTGATCCCAGGAGTTCAAGACCAGCCTGGGCAACATAGACCTTATCTCTAAAAAATTTTTTGTTAAAAAATAAGCCAGGCTGTCTGGACACGGTAGCTTATGCCTGTAATTGCAGCATTTTGGAAGGCCGAGGTGGGCGGATCACCTGTGGTCAGGAGTTCCAGACCAGCCTGGCCAACGTGGCAAAACCCTGTCTCAACTAAAATACAAGATTAGCAGGGCGTGCTGGCGCATGCCTGTAATTCCAACTACTAGGGAGGCTGAGGCAGGAGAATTTCTTGAACCAGGAAGGTGGAGGTTATGGTGAGGCAAGATCGCACCATTGCACTCCAGCCTGGGCAACAGAACAAGACTCTCTCAAAAAAAAAAAAAAAAAAAAAAAAATCAGCCAGGTGTGGTGGGGCACACATGTGCTCCTAGCTACTAGGGAGGCTGGTGCGGGAGAATCATTTGAGCCCAGGAGGTCGAGGCTGCAGTGGGCTATGATCATGCCACAGTGCTCCGTCTGGGTGACAGAGCAAAAGACCCTGTCTCTATAAATGAACAAAAATGTGTCAAATGGAGGACCCCTTTTTCTTTTTTTTTCTTTTTTTTGAGACAGAGTCTGGCTCTGTGGCCCAGACTGGAGTACAGTGGCACAGTCTCGGCTCACTGCAAGCTCCACCTCCTACATTAA